AAGGCATATATTCTGTGCTGTCTCCTTTGAGGGCTTGGCCCTGTCTGAACTGCCTGTAATATTTCTAACTCGGCTGTCTGCAATAGTGGGGCAAACTATGGCCAACCAATGAGATTACAAACACCACTGTTCAGGTAAAATTGATTAAAATCAGAATCAAACGGGGAAGCAAGTCATGTAGCAAGTGGGCAAGAATACAGAACAAGGTCTCTTGGGGTTGGGTTAATGACTCTTTTGGGGCTCTTTCAAGGCGGTGGATACCTATTTAGAATATCAATCCCTGGTGCCCATCCCTAGGGAAGTGTGTGGCTGCATTTGTTTACTCTTTTGTCCTGAGAGCTGGTCCATTGTCCTACAGCAAGAAGGGTCTGTCTCTTCCAAAGTTGCAAAGCCACCTTGTCTTGCATATTGTCTCCTTGAGGGCCTGGCCCTGTCTGACTGCCTGTAACACTTCTATCTAATTCAGCTGCCTACAACAGAAGGGAAAGGACATATTATTGCCTGACAGGCAAAGAGAAAAACTGAAACAGCGATCAACGTTTTCGCCAAGGCCAGGATGGAAGTCCTTGGGATTGCCCTAGGTCCAGTGGTGGCCAAATGATCTAAGTCCCTCACAGGGCTTTAAAACCTTGTTAAATGTCACAAGGCACATGAGTGGTGGGGATGGGAGACAGAACTAAGGCTAAGTGCTCTGTGAACAGAAAGCACCACTCAAAATGAAAGTGCAAATTCCTCGGAGCAAATCCCTCTGCCGTTGTGAGGCGAGCCAGCACCAACCCTGCCTTTCTGTTCAGAGTCTTTTGCAAATCAAGCAGAGGCAGGTTCTGGAAGCAGCAGCGGGTGTAGCAAGCGTCTCCCACCTCCCAAGTCCTCTCCATTATCTCTTCAACCCACAGCACCCAGTGTGGAAAGGTACATCAAGAATGCAGGAGCTCGCTATAGCTATTAGCCGGCATTCGTGACATTCAATCCACCTTAATGCTGGCACCAACTCTTCTTTTGTGTTCCTCTGGGGAGTGGTGGAGATTCCTTGGGCTAGCAGAAATGAAGACTTGTTGATTCAATGCGCTTTGGGTTAGATTAGCTGGACTGACTCAGATGACTTGTCCCTGAGTCTCAGGTTGCCTCTGTTTTACTAAGATAAGAAAGATCCCCTCAGGGACAGACAGGCCTGGGGCTAATTATGGTGCAGGGGGAATTCATCACTAAGTCCTTCACTAACAAAGACAAATTGCATCATGTGTTTACAAGGCCCTAAAAAATTAGGTGAGCAACTCCAGCATCCAGCCAGCACATGAACCTAGTCAGCAGGTGGCAGCCTGCCAGAGCGACGCCTCACTGTTGGTGTGGATAGATGGAGATTAAAATAGGTGACTGTTATCAGGCACACAATTTGAGATCTTTCGCTACCGCGATCAACTTTGATCTTCACAGGCACTGAGGCAGACTGAGAGAGAGAAGGAGAGGGAGAGGGAGAGGGAGAGGGAGAGGGAGAGAGAGAGAGAGAGGGAGGGAGAGAGAGAGAGAGAGGTGTTACTACGTTACTATGGCCTGCATTTGTGAACAAGGAAACTGTGGTTTGGAAGGATCAGAATTATGCAGCAATAGAGCCCAGCTTTTAAAGATGTACAGCACTTAGCCTTAGTTCTGTCTCCCATCCCCACCACTCATGTGCCTTGTGACATTTAACAAGGTTTTAAAGCCCTCTGGAATCAGCATCTTTATCTTATAATAGGGATGCTAATACCTACCATGTTGACTTGTGACCACAGAGCAGAATTTGTTGATATTTACATTCATACCCAACCCCTGGCACTTGAAGTGTTCTTTTCTTTGTTGTTTATTAGGCAGTGGACCTTAGACTGGGGCTTCTCGGAGTCAAACTCTAGCTCAACTCTCTGCCAAAAGTCATAAAGTGAAAAGCCAGTTTAGCTTCTCTGCTTCACATGCCCCTATATTAAAGAGATGGGCCATCACAACATTTGTCACGATGGTTTGTTGTAAGGGTTAAGAGGTACAACGCTAGATGATACTACAATAAGGTCTGCAGTGAGATTATAGTAAGGATTCTTTTTCCATGGGAGGGCATCAGTCCAGGATCACAGTGAGTGCTGAATAGAGCCAATATTCATTCCTGAGTCCTCCGATGTTCAACCTTTAAAAAAAAAAAATAGCAGCTTTATTGAGCTAAACTTTTCATACCACACAATTTACAAACTTAAACCACAGTCAAATTTAGATAACTTTTGTTACCCCAAAACAAAACAGTATACCCACTTAG